ATTTGGTGGGGGTCTCGAAGGGGACGGGGATGGGGATGGGGATCGGTTAAACGATACCGACGGGGAGTGCTTGAGCCCGAGCGCCCTTTGGAGCACGGAGCGGCTGCGGACGCGGCGGGACGTGGCCGACGGGACCCAGGCATCAGGCGTCTCGGAGAAGTCGAGACGGAGGTTTCTCGTACTCGTCCTGCCTCTCAGGGCCCTCACCAGACCTCGGGAGCGTCCGTCAAAAGACGCCTCGGTGGGGGCCCCACCGAGACGCGACAGGGTTAAGTCGGGCATGTCCCTTTACCGGAGGAACATTCGAGAATAGTCCAAAACATAATATGGTGGCGATGTTTCGTGTTCTTTGACTATTTTGGTTATTTTTGGGCGATGTCTTATTCTTCTTCCGAAACCCGCCGGTCCAAGGGGAGAAGTCCAGACCTTCAGGGAACCACGCCGAGAAGTAATCGGGACGGTGACCGCACCATGTAGTGAGTCGGTGGGGATTCGGGGTCACCGCCTCGTTTTGGGACTCGGGGCGTTCTCCGAGGATGTCTCGGGCGACTGGAGCCTCCAGGGTCCCAAAACCGTGCGCTGACGGATCGTGCGGTGAGGTTTTGGGGGATTTCGAGGTCACCGCACGGTCTGTCACCGCAGCGTTTCGGGACTCCAAACACACGCACGACCGTCAGCGTTACCCCAGGAGGGGTTGGCCCGGGTAGCAACCGTCACACGCCAGAGGATAACATGATCGACCCACGAATCCGGAAAGGGATATAGAAGTGTCAAGCATGGAGACGTTGAAAAACACCAGACTTGGGCGACGGGCAATTGCAATGCGCAAGGCAACGATGGTGATGTACCGTACCAGGGGCTGTACTGCACTGTCCTGCAAAGAATTGAAAAGCGCCATGCCGTGCAGACCTGTGCTATGCTCTATTGCATCGTGGACCAGCATCCTGACCGAACTTATCTGGATCTTCAGCTCGAGTTGCCTGAACGCAGAACTCGAGCTGCTTGCAGTCGAACCACGCGGGGCCTTCGACCAGCTCGAGCTCAAGATCTGATCCAATGCCGTAACGGGACGGGCCAAGAGGCGGCGACTCTGAACCGACTCGAAACGCACCGAGAATGGACGGACCGAAGCACGGCGAACCAAAACGCGACGAACTGCATCAAGACGAAACGAAACGATACGAAGGCCGAACCGACCCGACTCGAAGCGAGACAAGACAAACTGACCATCCTGAAACTACATGGCGTCTTCTGCCGAGGGAGCCGCACTCCGAGGTGCCAGGGCCCCTCGCAGATAACCAGGGCAACGATTTAGCGTAAATTGCGATTGATACGTGCTGTGCTGCACGGTGCTGCATCATGCTGTGTTGAACTGTGCTGTTCGCTGTTGCGTTGTGGATCAAACCATCATTGGCCCCCACTCCTGTCCGAACCGATCTGGATCTGAAGCTCAAGCTGCCTACGCGCATGGTTCGCCCAAAGCTGGCTGCAGTCGTACCACGCAGGGCGTTCAACCAGTTCGAACTCAAGATCTGTTTCAGTTCCGAAGTGGGACGTAACGATCGGGGGGCGAATCCGAACAGAAACGAAACGCACCCAGACGACGACAAGACCCCCGCACGGCACCTCATCAAACAATGCAAAACCAGCGATTCGAGAGAGGCATCCTCAACACATCCTGCAGAGGGAGGCTTTCGCTGCAGGTGAGGCCCACGCTCGAGACATCCTCAACAAATCCTGCAGAACGAGCGTTTCGTTCCAGACATCCCCAACACATTCTCATGTTAGTGATTCGCCTGGGCGACCTGGAAACGTGAAAACTACAATTCCGATCGAGACATCCTACACACATCCTCATGTTAGAGATCCGCCTGGGCGACCTGGAACAAGCGTGAAAACACGTGGGTCACCCAGAGCGGAACAAGCATAAAAGCACGTGGGCCCCTTCCGCCCCAGAGCGTAACAAGCGTGAAAACACGTGGGCCCCTTCCGCGCCAGGGCGGAACAAGCGTTAAGTCGGGCGTGTGCCCCTGCAGGGGGATTTTGGGCGAAAAAATTGAAGACAAAAAAAACAAAAAAAAAAAAAAAAAAAAAAAAAAAAAAAAAAAAAAAAAAAAAAAAAAAAAAAAAAAAAAAAAAAAAAAAAAAAAAAAAAAAAAAAAAAAACTCCAAACATGACCCCAAATGCTAAAAAAGAATAATCCAAAAATCGTCCCCTGACAATGTTTTTTACTATTTTTGAATAGCTTCCTCCTGTAGAGGGACAGGCCCGACTTCAAAACAAGCGTGAAAGCACGTGGGTCCCTTTCGCCGCAGGAGGCCTCCCCAGGGAGGCCTCGCAGGAGGCCTCGCGCGGACGCCTCGGAGCGGCGCCAGGGCCCCGCCGGGGCGCGCGGAGGGCGCCGCCAGCGGGGGGGCCCGACGCCGAGCCGAAGACTCCGCGCGGACCCCGGAGAGCTCCGCGCGGACCGCCGAGAGCTCCGCGCGGAGCGCCGAGAGGTCCGCGCGGAGCTCCGAGGTGTGCTCCTCGGCGCCTGCTTCCGCCGCTCCTCGGCCCCCCGCTCCTGCTCCTCCGAGGGGGAGCGGCGGGAGGCCGGCAGGGCGCGCGCGCGAGGTGCCGCCCAGGGTTTGCTGGGCAAGCCACCGGCCCAGAACAGATGCCTATCCCCATGTTGGGCATCACCCCCTCACGATGGCGATCTTCGAGGGACCCCCTCGGCTTCTTTTGGGTGCATCCCCAAGATTGTCACCGCCTCTAGGCGTGTCCATCTCAGGGATAGGGAGAAGTTCGAGGGTGCTGGACAGGGAGGGCGCGGCGCCGGCGCGCGGACGGCCGACGATGATCCTCGAGCGCCTCTCCGAAGGGGCGCTCTGCGGAGCCAGCGGCTCGGGCCGGGGTCCGGGTTCCCCTGCTCTTTCTCCTCCTCCTCCTCCTCCTCCTCCTCCTCCTCCTCCTCCTCCTCCTCCTCCTCCCCTTCCTCCTCCTCCTCCTCCTCCGCCTCCTCCTCCTCCTCCTCCTCCTCCTCCTCCTCCTCCTCCTCCTCCTCCTCCTCCTCCTCCTCCTCCTCCCCCCCCCCCCGGCGGTGGGGGCCTCTCGGCCCTGGCCACAATGCTGGCATGCAGGCGAAGTGACCGCACGCTGTCCACCCCGGCAGCGTGCGGGCGTCTCCGCTGCTCGTGCCCTTCACCGTCCCTACACCGACTGGGTGCCCCCAGGCTGGTTCTGCGCGGTCCGGTCCACCCCGACTGCGCCCAGCTCGCGGCCTCGGCCACCACTTTGGCTTTGGCCAGCCCCCTCCCTGCCCTCACTTGGCGGCCGGGGCGCGGCGCAGCTCGTGGCACGCGGCGCAGCGCAGGCACCCGCAGCGGCGCAGTGCCCAGAGACACCGCCGCTGGCCGCCGGCGCCGGCGCTGGCGCTGCCGCCCCGCCTGCGGGGTCCTCCCCGCAGGCGGGGCGCTCCTCCACCCGCCCTCTCCCCCTGACTACCTACCAGACCACCCCAACCCAACCCGAAGACCCCAATTTCGGGTTGGGGGGGAGGGTACGGGCTCCATATGTGTTTTTTCAGTGTTTCCCGACCCCCCCAAACTGGAAATGGATGGCAAATTGAGGCCTTCGGGTTGGGTTGGGGTGGTTTGGTGGGTGGTGACCCCCTGCCTCCTTTCCCTCCCGCCCCTCCCCCCTCCCTTGCGCGCCGCCATGGCGCTCGCGAGGCTGCCGCCGCTGGCGGCCTCCCCACACGCTCGGGCCCTGCGCGCACCCTGCCCTGGCAGTCTGCGGGATGCAGTCCAATGGATCGGGGATGGACAGACCTCCCTATAGTAAAGCGTGGTTTAGTGAAAACGACCTCGGGCCCAAACCTGGCGGGCGCAAGCCTGGAAAATAACGGCCGCGGCGCCCTCTCGAGAACCGAAAACGGACAATTCACTAATCGACGTGTCACTGTTAGGAGGTCTGTCCACCCCCGGTCCAACCCGGACGCACGCGCACCTGCCGCACCCTGCCGCGCCTCCCGCCTGGGCGGCGCGCGGCCCCCGCCGTCCACCGTGGCGCCCCGTGCTCTCTTCGTCGACGGCCTCGCTGTCTCGCTTATGCCTGCAGCACCCGTGCTTGGGCCCCGCCCGCGCCCGTGGGTGCACCGGTGCCGCGGCCCGGCAGCTGCCATGGTCCACGCCAGCGGGGCTGGCCGCGCCAGCTCACACAGGGATGTGACCCGTCCGCCCCCGAGTGGCCACTCGTTTCCCCCCTCCCTCCTCCTCCTCCTCCTCCTCCTCCTCCTCCTCCTCCTCCTCCTCCTCCTCCTCCTCCTCCTCCTTTTCCTCCTCCTCCTCCTCCTCCTCCTCCTCCTTCTGATTCTTCTCCTGGGCTTCCCTGTCTTCAAGCTCCAGCCACTGGTGCCCCGACACAGCTGATTCGGGGTGGCACAAGGGCCATGACACCTCGGAGCCCTGCTGCAGCAGCACCCCTTCCTCCCCTCTGCGGCCGCCCGCCCTGTGCTGTTTTCCGCTCGCGCAGGCTGGCCAAGTCGCTGCTGCAACGGCGCCGCCGTTTGGCCTGCTCGCTGGTGCTGCTGCCTCAGCCTCGCCGGCAACGGAAAGAGTGTACGCATGTATGTGTGCTTTGTGTGTTTCGTGTGTTGTATGTGTGTGTTGTGTGTGTGTGTGTGTGCGTGTGTGTGCTTGCGTGTGTACCCGGGATTCGGCGCAGAGCGGCACGGAAGCATCTGTACTCCTGTCGCGCGGGGGTACACCAAGTTGGTGGCACTAGCAACTGGCTCGCGCTATGTTCTCTCTCTCTCTCTTTCTCTGTCTCTCCCTCTCCTACCTAAATGGCGCTGATCGTTCAGACAGCAGGGAAG